CCAACCTAAACCTCCCCCACTGCAACTTGAGACCACTGCTCCTTGTTCTGTCATCTGCCACCACTGAGAACAGCCGAGCTCCATCCTCTTTGGAACCCCCCTTCAGGTAGTTGAAAGCAGCTATCCAATCCCCCCTCACTCTTCTCTTCTGGAGACTAAACAATCCCAGATCCCTCAGCCTCTCCTCATCAATCATTTTTGTTGCCCTCCGCTGGACTCTTTCCAATTTTTCCACATCCTTCTTGTAGTGAGGGGCCCAAAACTGGACACAGTACTCCAGATGAGGCCTCACCAATGTCAAATAGAGGGGAATGATCACGTCCCTCGATCAGCTGGCAATGCCCCTACTTATACACCCCAAAATGCCGTTAGCCTTTTTGGCAACAAGGGCACACTGTTGACTCATATCCAGCTTCTCATTCACTATAACCCCTAGGTCCTTTTCTGCAGAACTGCTGCCTAGCCATTCGGTCCCTAGTCTGTAGCAGTGCATGGGATTCTTCCATCCTAAGTGCAGGACTCTGCACTTGTTCTTGTTGAACCTCATCAGATTTCTTTTGGACCAATCCTCTAATTTGTCTAGGTCCCTCTGTATCCTATCCCTGCCTTCCAGCGTATCTACCACTCCTCCCAGTTTAGTGTCATCTGCAAACTTGCTGAGGGAGCAGTCCATGCCATCCTCCAGATCATTAATGAAGATATTGAACAAAACCGGCCCCAAGACCGACCCTGGGGGCACTCCGCTTGATAGCGGCTGCCAACTAGATATAGAGCCATTGATCACTACACGTTGAGCCCAACGATTTAGCCAGCTTTCTATCCACCTTATAATCCATTCATGCAGCCCATACTTCTTTAACTTGCTGGCAAGAATACTGTGGGTTCCTGAGGGATAAAAAAGCGCTGTAGAAAACTATAACTCATTTATACTGCAGATGGTTTCCTCTGAGCTACTGCATAGTAACGTGGGGGCTGTGCTTTGGTTCCAGAAAGAGGAAGGGGAACGGCGCGTGACCTGGGAAAAGAACCTCAAGTTTGTTATGCTGCATAACCTCGAGCACTCACTGGGGCTGCATTCCTATGAGCTGGGCATGAACCACCTGGCAGACATGGTAAGTTAAAAAAATAGACCAAGTGACTGGGCATCTGGGAATTATCAGTATTTCCCTGGGGGTGCTGTGGCCAGAGAATGTAACTGAATCAGGGGCAGAATAAGCACCAGCCAATCTAGGGTCGGTATGAGCCCTGCAGAGGTAGGCCCCCAAACCACAGCACCCCTCTGCGTCCTCCAGCAGCAACCCGCCCCTGTCACCATTCCAAGAGCTGTGCAAATCTTTGTTCTACTTGCTTGGGTCAGGGCTGTGTGTGGGAAATCTGCCATCAGGGGGTAGTCCTGATTTTTTAAGTGCAGGTGCTCCACCCCCTGCTAGCCCGCTGCTGGTGTGACCCCCTCCCCCCCAGCATGTTTCTGTATCAAATGGCATTCTCCAAGCATCGTGATCTTGCACATACAGTACATGTGAGGTCAAAAGTGTGGGACTCTCATTCCCATAGGTTCCTGCTTCTCTATCTTACTGTGTCTGCCACCCTCCC